CTGTTTCGCTCCATTCTCTCTACATGTCCGAACCACCTCAACAACCCTTCCTCAGCCCTCTGGACAACAGTTTTGGTAATCCCGCACCTCCTCCTAACTTCCAAACTACGAATTCTCTGCATTATATTCACACCACACATTGCCCTCAGACATGACATCTCCACTGCCTCCAGCCTTCTCCTCGCTGCAACATTCATCACCCACGCTTCACACCCATATAAGAGCGTTGGTAAAACTATACTCTCATACATTCCCCTCTTTGCCTCCAAGGACAAAGTTCTTTGTCTCCACAGACTCCTAAGTGCACCACTCACTCTTTTTCCCTCATCAATTCTATGATTCACCTCATCTTTCATAGCCCCATCCGCTGACACGTCCACCCCCAAAATATCTGAATACGTTCACCTCCTCCATACTCTCTCCCTCCAATCTGATATTCAATCTTTCATCACCTAATCTTTTTGTTATCCTATAACCTTACTCTTTCCTGTATTCACCTTTAATTTTCTTCTTTTGCACACCCTACCAATTCATCCACCAATCTCTGCAACTTCTCTTCAGAATCTCCCAAGGCACAGTGTCATCAGCAAAGAGCAGCTGTGACAACTCCCACTTTGTGTGTGATTCTTTATCTTTTAACTCCACGCCTCTTGCCAAGACCCTCGCATTTACTTCTCTTACAACCCCATCTATAAATATATTAAACAACCACGGTGACATCACACATTCCTTGTCTAAGGCCTACATTTACTGGGAAAAAATTTCCCTCTTTCCTACATACTCTAACTTGAGCCTCACTATCCTCGTTAAAAACTCTTCACTGCTTTTCAGTAACCTACCTCCTACACCATACACTTGCAACATCTGCACATTGCCCCCTATCCACCCTGTCATACGCCTTTTCCAAATCCATAAATGCACAAAGACCTCTTTAGCCTTATCTAAATACTGTTCACTTATATGTTTCACTGTAAACACCTGGTCCACACACCCCCTACCTTTCCTAAAGCCTCCTTGTTCATCTGCTATCCTATTCTCCATCTTACTCTTAATTCTTTCAATTATAACTCTACCATACACTTTACCAGGTACACTCAACAGACTTATCCCCCTATAATTTTTGCACTCTCTTTTATCCCTTTGCCTTTATACAAAGGAACTATGCATGCTCTCTGCCAATCCCTAGGTACCTTACCCTCTTCCATACATTTATTAAATAATTGCACCAACCACTCCAAAACTATATCCCCACCTGCTTTTAACATTTCTATCTTTATCCCATCAATCCCGGCTGCCTTACCCCTTTCATTTTGCCTACTGCCTCACGAACTTCCCCCACACTCACAACTGGCTCTTCCTCACTCCTACAGATGTTATTCCTCCTTGCCCTATACACGAAATCACAGCTTCCCTATCTTCATCAACATTTAACAATTCTTCAAAATATTCCCTCCATCTTCCCAATACCTCTAACTCTCCATTTAATAACTCTCCTCTCCTATTTTTAACTGACAAATCCATTTGTTCTCTAGGCTTTCTTAACTTGTTAATCTCACTCCAAAACTTTTTCTTATTTTCAACAAAATTTGTTGATAACATCTCACCCACTCTCTCATTTGCTCTCTTTTTACATTGCTTCACCACTCTCTTAACCTCTCTCTTTTTCTCCATATACTCTTCCCTCCTTGCATCACTTCTACTTTGTAAAAAACTTCTCATATGCTAACTTTTTCTCCCTTACTACTCTCTTTACATCATCATTCCACCAATCGCTCCTCTTCCTCCTGCACCCACTTTCCTGTAACCACAAAACTTCTGCTGAACACTCTAACACTACATTTTTAATCCTACCCCATACCTCTTCGACCCCATTGCCTATGCTCTCATTTGCCCATCTATCCTCCAATAGCTGTTTATATCTTACCCTAACTGCCTCCTCTTTTAGTTTATAAACCTTCACCTCTCTCTTCCCTGATGCTTCTATTCTCCTTGTATCCCATCTACCTTTTACTCTCAGTGTAGCTACAACTAGAAAGTGATCTGATATATCTGTGGCCCTCTATAAACATGTACATCCTGAGTCTACTCAGCAGTCTTTTATCTACCAATACATAATCCAACAAACTACTGTCATTTCGCCCTACATCATATCTTGTATACTTATTTATCCTCTTTTTCTTAAAATATGTATTACCTATAACTAAACCCTTTCTAACACAAAGTTCAATCAAAGGGCTCCATTATCATTTACACCTGGCACCCCAAACTTACCTACCACACCCTCTCTAAAATTTCTCCTACTTTAGCATTCAGGTCCCCTACCACAATTACTCTCTCACTTGGTTCAAAGGCTCTATACATTCACTTAAAATCTCCCAAAATCTCTCTCTCTCCTCTGCATTCCTCTCTTCTCCAGGTGCATACACGCTTATTATGACCACTTCTCGCATCCAACCTTTACTTTAATCCACATAATTCTTGAATTTACACATTCATATTCTCTTTTCTCCTTCCATAACTGATCATTTAACATTACTGCTACCCCTTCCTTTGCTCTAACTCTCTCAGATACTCCAGATTTAATCCCATTTATTTCCCCCCACTGAAACTCTCCTACCCCCTTCAGCTTTGTTTCGCTTAGAGCCAGGACATCCAACTTCTTTTCATTCATAACATCAGCAATCATCTGTTTCTTGTCATCCGCACTACATCCACGCACATTTGAAGAAAATGTTTTTTAATCTAAAATGCACTGTTCAGTGAGAGTAAGGGCAAAAGACAACTGTATCATGCAGTATATATGTATACTGAAAAGGGCACCAATTAACATTTTGAACTAATTCAGTAAGAGGAATAAAAGCATAGTAAGACTGCTGGATTGTGTGCTGGAGGGAAGACTGAGTGTTAAGGGTGTAAACATCCAATAAGCTTGTGTGTGAGCATTAGACAAGTGGTTTTCATGACTAGACATATTTTTGGAGTCTTAGAAAGGTAACATTTATGAAGGGATTCAAGGAAATTAACTAGCAGAACTTGAACCCTAGAGGTGGAAAGTACAGTGCCTGTACTCTTGAGGGGCGAGGATGTTGCAGTTCAGAGGGTTATGTGAAATGTGATGTCAGCACACTTCTAGTAAGACAGAAATTGAATGAAAGACAGTGAATGCATCTCTTCTTTTTTGGGTTCACTCTATGTTAAATATTTCAGACTGAGTAAAGTATTTTCTATGTCTACTATGAGAAGTTCATTACCACAAATCCTAAGCTCCTTTCTTGGTCTGCAGACTAAGAAAAATGTGGTGATCAGGTTCTTCTTGTGGATGCTCAGGATTTACAGTAATGAGCCTCTTATAATAAAACAAGACTACATACAGAAATATCCTCACCACTGAGATTAATAAAGATAATTTTACATAAAAAAACACATTAGTATGAGTACAGTCTCTCCTCACATAACGACGGAGTTCTGTTCCTAAGACCATGTCGGTAAACGAATTCGTCACTAAGTGGGAGCATACTGTAATGGTAGTGGGTTTGTGTCAACCATCTTTGATATTGTTTTAATGTCACCTTTGCACCATGTGTAACATTTCTGGTATATTTTTAAATGTTTATAGTACTGTACTGTATACTGTAACAGAATAGAGGAAATCAGCTCTAATATACATTATTTAGGTATGCATACTGGTCAGAAATCCATTGTAAGTCCGAGTCGTCAGTGAACGAGTATGTCGCTAAATGAGGAGAGGTTGTATACACATACAAACCAAATAGTGTCCAACATCTGCAACTTGAGCAGGAGAAATAAAGACATTATGTACAGCATAGTAATATTTCATGTAGCAGACCTCATTTGTATACTTTCCCAGATAATGCTTAGTAACAAACTGCAAAAAGATTACTTGATTTTGGTAATCCATGGATACCTATTATTGGGAAAAATAAAATGGAAACTTTTTTCCCACTAGACAAAGTTTTAAAGGTCACACAGTGTAGCACCACAGGGATATTAGGGATAATTTCTTCAATGTAACAGTGGCAAATAATTGAATGAGCCAAACCATGACAAGAGTGGAAGCCAACTCCATACAAAGGTTTAAAAATAAATATTACAGGGCTCCATCACATAAACTGGAAGGTTAAGAGGCAGGATGAAGAGCAAGAGCTCCCCTCCTTGTCCATGTAAACTCAAATAGGTAATTATATTACTAGTGGTCTAAAACATTTCTCCATCTTCATGTGGTCATTTCAATGACCGCTGCTTACCAAGCCCTTATTTTTTTTAAGTGAACTGTTCCTATCTGATTTAATTCTATCATGAAATTGTTAAAGTTAGCCTTTTTTTCACTTGTTAGCCAGATTAACATATTTACTTATGTGATACCCAAACTATCACGTGAAAATCATTAACTTGTATTATAGCTTCTTTTAATATTAAGAGCTAGTAGAGTGATTTAACACTAAGTCAGAATCAAGGTATTGCATTTGTATAAGTAATTTACATGAAGTTTATAAATATTTAAAGACAAATACGTAAATAAAAGAACAAATTATGTATCAGGGTATCATAGCATAAAAAGAACTCAGCACACAGGTGTAATGAAGCTCTTTCCAAGCAGAATCAGTTTATCATTCATAATCATAATGCAATAAATATTAAGAATATTATGATTGAGAAAATAGCAACAACAGAAGCATAAATCACAGAACAGATAGGGTTTGAACCCATGGCAAGTAAGCCCATGATTTGTTTGCTAATGTGTTATCACAACTTTGGGAGTCACAACAGAAACATATGCTGATAATAGTAGTACATCATTAGCTTGAGCTTTTGTAGATAATACAAAAGTACTGTATTTAATCTTTGTATTCAATGATCTGTCAGAAGATACAATAAAAAACTGGGGGAAGGGATGGTCCAACAACACCAAATATATTTAATGAATAACAGGGAAACCTATACTACAATTAACTCAAAAGGTAATAAACACCAAGCCCCACCTTTTTGAAGTGAGCAAGCATATCTGGAGATTGGCGGCACATCTCTGTGATGAGTGTCACACCTGTAATCAGCACACCTAGGAAAGAGAGAGATTAACCTTAACTCAAATGATATATGTATTATTAAATGCATCTCCTTTAACTAAACCCATTAAACAAACACAACACACACACACATTACCGTAGGTCCTCAATTTGTACAGGAGATGCATTCCTTGAAAACTAAATTGAAATAAAAACTGCACAAAATGAATATAAAATTAAATGGGACAAAAAGGGACACGTTTCAGATTACAGTGGAACCTCTACTTTCGAGTTTAATCCGTTCCATGACCTTTCTCGCATCTGGATTTGCTCGTTTGCTGTCAATTTTCCTCATTTAAATTAACTGAAATGCAATTAATCCATTCCAGTGGAATTCTGTACTTCAATAATTTTGCTAATATCAACTCTATGGCTTATTTATTTATCTCACTTCATCTAATATGACATAATAAACAATATAAATAACATAGAAACCTGATATATACTCTAAAATGAATAAAATATGTCATTCATGTAGTGGTATGGGCGGTGTTGGCGGTGGACGAGAGTTTGTCTGAACACCGGGCAAAATACTTCATGAATAATTTCGCTAATATCATCTATACGGCTTATTTATCTATCACAGTTCATCTAGTATGACATAACAAACAATATGAATAACACAGAAAGATGATATATACTCTAGTATGAATAAAATACGTCATTTATGTAGTGGTATGGGCGGTGTCGGTGGTGGACGAGAGTTTGTCTGGAGACCTGGCAAAATTCTTCATGAATAATTTTGCTAATATCATCTATACTGCTTATTTATCTATCATAGTTCATCTAGTATGACATAACAAACAATATGAATAACACAGAAACATGATATATACTCTAGAATGAATAAAATATGTCATTCATGAAGTGGTATGGGCGGAGTTGGCGGTGGAGGAGAGTTTGTCTGGACACCGGGCAAAATTCTTCATGAATAATTTTGCTAATATCATCTATACGGCTTATTTATATATCACAGTTCATCTAATATGACATAACAGACAATATAAATAACATAGAAACACGATATATACTCTAGAATGAATAAAATACGTCATTATGTAACAGGTGGAGGCGGCCACAACCGCTCCCTCTTTGTTGTGGTAAACACTGCCATCTAGTGACGGCCTTTTGAAGCCGTCTATTATAATTATTATATGTAGTACATTATTATTATAGATGTATTATTATTATACATATTATATTATTATTATTATTGTATTATACTATTATTATTACTATTATTATTATACATATTATTATTCATATATATTTTTTTTTTTTCAACAAGTCGGCCGTCTCCCACCGAGGCAGGGTGACCCAAAAAAAGAAAGAAAATCCCCAAAAAGAAAATACTTTCATCATCATTCAACACTTTAACTACACACACACATTATCACTGCTTTTGCAGAGGTGCTCAGAATACAACAGTTTAGAAGCATATACGTATAAAGATACACAACATATCCCTCCAAACTGCCAATATCCCAAACCCCTCCTTTAAAGTGCAGGCATTGTACTTCCCATTTCCAGGACTCAAGTCAGACTATATGAAAATAACCGGTTTCCCTGAATCCCTTCACTAAATATTACCCTGCTCACACTCCAACAGATCGTCAGGTCCCAAGTACCATTCGTTTCCATTCACTCCTATCTAACACGCTCGCGCACGCTTGCTGGAAGTCCAAGCCCCTCGCTCACAAAACCTCCTTTACCCCCTCTCTCCAACCCTTTTGAGGATGATCCCTACCCTGCCTTCCTTCCCCTACAGATTTATATGCTTTCCATGTCATTCTACTTTGATCCATTCTCTCTAAATGACCAAACCACCTCAACAACCCCTCTTCTGCCCTCTGACTAATACTTTTATTAACTCCACACCTTTTCCTAATTTCCACACTCCGAATTTTCTGCATAATATTTAAACCACACATTGCCCTTAGACAGGACATCTCCACTGCCTCCAACCGTCTCCTCGCTGCTGCATTTACAACCCAAGCTTCACATCCATATAAGTGTGTTGGTACTACTATACTTTCAAACATTCCCTTCTTTGCCTCCATAGATAACGTTTTTTGACTCCACATATACCTCAATGCACCACTCACCTTTTTTCCTTCATCAATTCTATGATTAACCTCATCCTTCATAAATCCATCCGCCGACACATCAACTCCCAAGTATCTGAAAACATTCACTTCTTCCATACTCCTCCTCCCCAATTTGATATCCAATTTTTCTTTATCTAAATCATTTGATACCCTCATCACCTTACTCTTTTCTATGTTCACTTTCAACTTTCTACCTTTACACACATTCCCAAACTCATCCACTAACCTTTGCAATTTTTCTTTAGAATCTCCCATAAGCACAGTATCAACAGCAAAAAGTAACTGTGTCAATTCCCATTCTGAATTTGATTCCCAATAATTTAATCCCACCCCTCTCCTGAACACCCTAGCATTTACTTGTTTTACAACCCCATCTATAAATATATTAAACAACCATGGTGACATTACACATCCCTGTCTAAGACCTATTTTTACCGGGAAGTAGTCTCCCTCTCTTCTACACACCCTAACCTGAGCCTCACTATCCTCATAAAAACTCTTTACAGCATTTAATAACTTACCACCTATTCCATATACATGCAACATCTGCCACATTGCTATTCTATCCACTCTAGCATATGCCTTTTCTAAATCCATAAATGCAATAAAAACTTCCCTACCTTTATCTAAATACTGTTCACATATATGCTTCAATGTAAACACTTGATCTACACATCCCCTACCCACTCTGAAACCTCCTTGCTCATCCGCAATCCTACATTCTGTCTTTCCTGTAATTCTTTCAATTATAACCCTATCGTACATTTTTCCTGGTATACTCAGTAAACTTATTCCTCTATAATTTTTACAGCCTCTTTTGTCCCCTTTCCCTTTATATAAAGGGACTATACATGCTCTCTGCCAATCCCTAGGTACCTTCCCCTCTTTCATACATTTATTAAACAAAAGTACCAACCACTTCAATACTATATCCCCCCCTGCTTTTAACATTTCTGTCATGATCCCATCAGTTCCAGCTGCTTTACCCCCTTTCATTCTACGTAATGCCTCACGTACCTCCCCCACACTTACATTCTGCTCTTCTTCACTCCTAAAAGATGGTATACCTCCCTGACCAGTGCATGAAATTACTGACTCTCTTTCTTCCTTAACGTTTAAACGTTCCTCAAAATATTCTCGCCATCTACCTAATACCTCCATCTCCCCATCTACTAACTCCCCTACTCTGTTTTTAAATGACAAATCCATACTTTCCCTAGGCTTTCTTAACTTGTTTAACTCACTCCAAAATTTTTTCTTATTTTCATTAAAATTTCTTGACAGTGCCTCTCCCACTCTATCATTATTATTATATTAGTATTAGTATTATTATATTATACAGGTCTCCCTCAACATTCACGTTTTCAGCTTTTGCGGGCTTCACACATTCGCAAATTCCCAACCGCCAAATTCCCAGCCACCAAATTCCCAGCCGCCAAATCATATTCAAGTTTCCCGCCACCTGCGAGTCCCTACTACCCTCCCTCCGACCCCTGCAACTGGCAGCCAGCCCTCCCACCACTCAGTGTGGTGAGTGTTTTGTTTGTTCATTATTTGCTATTAAACTACAGTATAAATAATGTAAACACATTCATGACTGTATATTGGAATGGCTATTTGGACAGGTATTGGACAGTGACATCATGTGTTTACTCTTGAACACAGCAAAGAATCAAACATTTCTGCTACTGCTAATAATAACACTAGTAATAATAATAATAATAATAATAATAATAATAATAATAATAATAATAATAATAATAATAATACGATATAATTAAAGAAGGAAATTGTACAAAAATACGAGGGACTGGTTGACACATCGTCAGTGTGACTTTGTTTATGCTGGAGTGAACATTAGTCTCCCCTGCCTTCCAAACATTTCACAATAATTCATTGTTTGGTGCTTGTAGATTGAGTGTGACTGGAGGGTGGTTGAGGCAGTGGTAGAGGTGATAGAGCAGTGGTATAGGCAGTGGTAGAGGCAGTGGTAGAGGCAGTGATAGAGGCAGTGATTAGAGGCAGTGGTAGAGGCAGTGGTAGAGGCAGTGGTAGAGGCAGTGGTAGAGGCAGTGGTGAGTAGGCAGTGGTAGAGGCAGCGATAGAGGCAGTGATATTTACTAACATATATGTTATAAATAATAATAGTACATTATGAATAACATTTATTATTATTATTATAAATGTTATTAATATTAACATGTACTATTATTATTTATAACATACGTATATGTTAGTAAATACCACTGCCTCACCCACTGCCTCTATCACTGTCTCTATCACTGTCTATCACTGCCTCTACCACTGCCTCAACTGCTGAATTATTGTGAAATGTTTGGAAGAGCAGGGAGACTAATGTTCACTCCAGCATAAACAAAGCCACACTGACGATGTGTCAACCACTCCCTCGTATTTTTGTACAATTTCCTTCTTCAATTATATCGTATTATTATTATAATTATTATTATTATTATTATTACTATTGTTATTATTAGCAGTAGCAGAAATGTTTGATTCTTTGCTGTGTTCAAGAGTAAACACATGATGTCACCGTCCAATACCTGTTCAAATAGCCATTCCAATATGCAGTCATGAATGTGTTTACATTATTTATACTGTAGTTTAATAGCAAATAATGAACAAACAAAACACTCACCACACTGAGTGGTAGGAGGGCTGGCTGCCAGTTGCGGGGGTCGAGAGGGGGTAGTAGGGACTCGCATTGGTTGAGGAAGTGGTGGAGGCAGTGGTGGAGTCTGTGGTATTTAATAACATACATGTTATTAAAGCATAACATGTATATATTTAGTACAACTTACAACGTTTTAATGTATTTTATGATTGTTCATGGTTCAACAAGTTAAGCAGTATTGTATTATATTTCCCTACAATATGCTGTATAGCCCTTGTGGCTTAGCGCTTCTTTTTGATTATAATAATAATAATTCCCTACAATATATTGGGGCACCAAACATTCACGGTTTTTCAACATTCGCGAGGCTCTTGATCCCCTAACCCTCGCGAATGTTGAGGGACACCTGTATTATATATTTTTTTTTTTTTCAACAAGTCGGCCGTCTCCCACCGAGGTAGGGTGACCCAAAAAAGAAAGAAAATCCCCAAAAAGAAAATACTTTCATCATCATTCAACACTTTCACCACACTCACACATTATCACTTTTTGCAGAGGTGCTCAGAATACAACAGTTTAGAAGCATATACGTATAAAGATACACAACATATCCCTCCAAACTGCCAATATCCCAAACCCCTCCTTTAAAGTGCAGGCATTGTACTTCCCATTTCCAGGACTCAAGTCCGACTATATGAAAATATTATATTATATTATTACGTATATTATTATTATTATTATATAAATAATTTGTAATTTTTATTCACACAAAAAATATAAGATTTACTGTGATGTCATTTGTTTACACTGCAACAGCCAAGCAATGGACCATTTCTCCTAGGTTGAGCTCTATTTCAAGGCACTTTTCATCATGAAAGCAATCAAAATCATATCTATTTCTGTAATATATCTTCCATTCTATCAAATGAGACCAAAAAAACGAGAATACAACCATAAACGCTATTCGAAATTACCACTAAGGGGTGGCTAATTGCTGAGAAGTGAACTCCATTATTTATGCTTAGATTTCTTTCATTTTTCGTGTACGTTAAGAAGCATCTTTCCATCATACATTGCCCAAGTTTCAATAAGGTAGTCCAACAAACAAATGAGATACAATTCCCGAGATCAAGAGCAAGAGCCCCTCACCAGTGTCAAGGAACCTACCTTGAGGTCTGCTCGCTTGTGGAAATTTTGCTCGCGTATTGAAGCAAAATATCGACCCATCGACTGCTCGTATTTGGAAAAAATCGCACGTGGACACGCTCGCAAGTAGAGGTTCCAATGTATTTGCCTACCTGGTCTGAGACCAAATGCTTGCACTCCCATGCCACAATATATAATCTAGCTGTACACAGTTAAAATTATTAAATCTATAACAAGTATCCTGGCTGACTGACTGGTGACACAGACTGCTGGTGCTCACAACAACCAGTGCAGCAAAGGCACAACAACCTGAATGATCAGAACAGAGCTTTAAAGTGTAGTAAGAGTTCCATCTTATTCTACTCTCCCACCCTACTAGAGTAAATACATAAGGTCCACAAAATTCTTTTCTGATTTCAAAAACTTATTACATTATGGTGAAAAATGTGAAAATAAATGTCTGTATACAACAGTGTGTGGATCGAGTTTGATGGCCCCATCAAATGGCCCCACATTCCCAATATCATACTTTCAGTTTTTTCCTTGGAGTTCTGTGAAGAATTGTTTTCCAGATACCAGCAGTTTCCATCAGAATACTCCTTAACAGAATAAATGATGGCATCAAAAGTCACATAGGATATGTTGCCAATGTGTGTAATGAAATGGAGCATCAATTTGATTTGCACCTGTTGAGGTTGAACAAAATATCCAGAGATAATGTGATTGGTGATGATATTGCCTTCAACGAAAATGTCTTTTGATGTGGGTCTCAGTAATACGCCAATATCTATTTAGTCCCTCAGCTATCAACGTATTGTGTATAAAAAATTTGGGTATTTAATCCACTGCTAAAACTATAGCTTACTCACATAAAAATTATTTTTAATACATTTTACCAATATAACACCAATATAACATAGCCCAAAAGTCAATATCACAGAACATTACAAAAGCAAGCGTCTCACCATGATTCTTTTCAGAAAGGAGCGAGCGTGTGGCTGGCAGGTACATCTCCATTAGTTCTGGCACCCTGCAGATAATTCGCAAAGCACAAACTGCAGCCTTTTTACGAATATACGCATTGGAGGATTTTAGGAGTCTTTCCACTTCTCCCGCAAGGTCACGGGACATTTCAGGAGAGGCAATAGCTCCTAAAGTACAGAGTGCCAAGCCTTGTACAAACTGTGTTGATGAATTCAAGTCACTGGAAAATAAAGTCTTAATTAATATAATCAATTTTAAATATATTATACATATTTGTTTACTGTTTATCCTGAATTCGGTTCCCACTTTTATGTTGTGTGATACTTAGAAAGTCTCATAATAAGCATTCCTAAGTATCCTTAACCCTCTGAGGGTCCAAGAATTTTCAAAAAAAAATTTATTTTTTCTTATGAAATGTTAGAGAATCTTTTTCTGAAGGTAATAAAACAAAAAGTACTAAATTTGATGGAAAACTGACGAAATTACACTAGCATAGATTTTACTGCGTCAGCGATATTTACGCATCAGCGATTTTACCCAATTTGACTCCTCTTTTAGGCCAATTACATACATTATTCCAGTCAACCAAATTCTTAGCTACTTCACTAGTATTACTTCTATTTTATCAATTGAGCACAAGAAACTGCCCAATCAACTATTTCAACCACCCAATAAAGTGACCAGAAATTGGTGATTTGGCCAATTTCACACACAGTTCAAAATATTCCAATTTCAAAATAGAATAAACAATGGAGGCATTCCTGGCACCAAAATAACATTTCCTCTGTTTATCAGTTATGTTTCCAGGCTTTACAGATGAATTCCATTTTTATTTTTTATTTACATAAAGAATTTTTATTCACACCACAAAATAGAAGATTTACTGTTAAGCAATATTATAATAACTGTATAAATAATATCAGCGCATCTGTGAATGTATATTAGACCCACCAGCTGACATGTACTGAACGCGTGAGATCATTTGTTTACTCTTCAGCATCGGCAAAAATTGAACATTTCCGCTTTGCTCTCAATTTCAAGCTATTTTCAGTACTAAAGCCAATCAAAATCATCTCTATTTCTGTAATATACCTTCCATTCTATCAAATGAGACCACCATAAATACAATTGTAAAAACCATACAAAAATACACCACAAAGTCGGTGTTTTAATTCAAAAACACGGTCACATTTTTTTCTCATTATGTACTGCGTGTTGAAGAATTTATTTTATATGGTGCACACTTACCACACAGATGCATTCTTTCATATCTAGACTCAAATTTACCACTCACAGCTTACCTGAGTGAGATGAGTTCATGACACAGAACTACAGCTTGGACCCTCAAAAGAGTTAAACATCATTAGCAGGGGCCAAAAAAACAAAGCACTAAATAAATTAAAGAGGCATCATATTTATTTTGCTATAAGTCATCACTTAAAACTAGTGGTTCTACTTATTTTCTGACTATCATCAATGTCTCACAATCACTGCTTTCATAAATATCTACATATGTCACCCTAATCCTCCCATGGAACATCCCCATGGACCTCTTGAAAAATATATCCTTCAAAAAGTTTGCAATGACTCAAAGACCTCCCACGCCTATCTATACAATCTTCAACTAGTTAGTACCCTACTCCATCATATTTATAATAACATACAGTACTGTATTTTCCTTGTCTCTGTTGCTGCTTGTCTACCCTGTGCTTCACTCTTCATATATCTTCCTTGCAAGGGTCAAAACAGTCTCTCTATATGAAATTCACTTTATTCAGTGTTCTATTTCTTACTATTTTAATCCTAAAAGAAATGAGTTATGAAAATTAATCTAACATTATGTAATTTTTGTGCACTGAAATTTTTAAGTTAACTCAATCTGACAAAGGACTAAAAAGCCTTATCAACTCTACATTACTTGAATTATTGCCTTTTGGCATTTCTACTCTCGTATTTCCTGAATAATAATAAAAAAAATTTTTTTTCATTAATCAAGTTAAAATAAGTCTTTTACACTACATACTTTTCAGAAATGATCAGTTATTTCACTACATAACATACTGTATGAGAGGGCTTCTTCCTTTGTATTAATTAAGCAGTAAAACTTGTACAAGTATTCCTCATTTCATGAAGTAGAAGTGTTCCAGGTTCATGCCAACAGTGTTACGCTCAATCTGGCCATTAAAACTTTCATTCTGTATAATAAGATTCTTCAATATAATTTACAAACCATGCCGAATACATACAATGAATGTACATCACACACATACAAAATTTCCAACAGAAATGTGACATTGCAGATGTGAACCTGAATGAAATGAGGGGAAACTGTGCTATACATATTAACCTATAAAAATTCATTTAAAATTTTAATACTTATGCATGGACCAGCAAATCTTCATCAATACAGTACATTTAAAAGAAAGAGAGTAATGCACCTGTTCCAGCCACCAATAACATGGGCAGTCACAAAGACCATCTAGGACAATATTCAAGTTTCTGGCACACATCATCACAGAACTTGAGCAGCCATTCATATTCACCAGACACGGTCCCATATGACCTGCCTCCCTACACACAAGTTAATTCACAGCCCAAAGACTGGAGAACAAGTACATGGGATACATATACTTATGGTATAAACCTTGGTAACTGATACCGACAAATTTGTTTGAAAAGACACGTGAGCAAACACTAGGACATATTTATTAGAAAATCCTGGGACCTTGATCAAGGTCCCAGGACTGAAACATTTTCTAATAAATATATTCTAGTGTTTACTCACACATCTCTTGAAACAATATGTACTTGTAGATAAAGTGTTTCAAAAGAGAACATCATAAAGTGTAACCAGAACATATTAGAAAAGTGATAAAAGGTCTTTGAGCTCCCAAATTGAGTCTAGAACAATATAATGGCCCAAAGTAACTCTAGATTTCAATTTATAATATACATAAATTCTTTCTTTCAACACACCAGCCGTATCCCACCAAGGCAGGGTGGCCCAAAAAGAAAAACGAAAGTTTCTCTTTTTAAATTTAGTAATTTATACGGGAGAAGGGGTTACTAGCCCCTTGCTCCCGGCATTTTAGTCTCCTCTTACAACACCCATGGCTTACGGAGGAAGAATTCTGTTCCACTTCCCCATGGAGATAAGAGGAAATAAACAAGAACAAGAACTACAAAGAAAATAGAAGAAAACCCAGAGGAGTGTGTATATATATATATGCGTGTACATGTATGTGTAGTGTGACCTAAGTGTAAGTAGAAGTAGCAAGACATACCTGAAATCTTGCATGTTTGAGACAGAAAAAAGGACACCAGCAATCCTACCATCATGTGAAACAATTACAGGCTTTCGTTTTACACTCACTTGGCAGGATGGTAGTACCTCCCTGGGCGGCTGCTGTCTTCCAACCTACTACCTAAATACATAAATTATATTTTCATATTTTATATTTTTATATGGCCAGACTTGAGTCCTGGAAATGGGAAGTACAATGCCTGCACTTTAAAGGAGGGGGCTTAGGATATTGGCAGTTTGGAGGGATATGTTGTGTATCTTCATACATATATGCTTCTAAACTGTAGTATTCTGAGCACCTCTGCTAAAACAGTGATTATGTGTGAGTGAGATGAAAGTGTTGAATGATGAAAGTATTTTCTTTTTTGGGATTTTCTTTCTTTTTTGGGTCACCCTGCCTCAGTGGGTTGACTTGTTGGGAAAAAAAAAATTATATGTTCCAAACCTCAAAAATGTTGTGTGAATTCTATGTATACTGTACTCACTTCTTGAGGGAATTTGTAATAAGCAGATGTACATCTTGCCGTTCATCCAGGAGTAACATGGCTCCAAGGTAACCTATACGTTTGTCAGTGAAACGTGGCGATGCAATTAACTTAAGGCATTCCATCTGACCAAAGTGAGCAGGATATCTGAGGAAATAAGATTTTTAAAATTTACAATGTGTAGTGGGACATAAAGCTCACTTACTCATTCTATGCAATACAACACTTCACACTCGCATGCATGCTAACCACTCGGAAGCACTATCCTGCCCAAGTTAAAAACATTCTCACAGGTATGCAAAAGAAAACAGCAAATAATTTAACAATAGGATCCAGTTTATTTAAAACTATAATGTCACACGTAGGACTTAGAGGTTTATCAAGGTCCCAGCAGGCACCTCAGTACAGACAAAGCCATAGGCATACAGTAAAAATGTGCAGCCCAGTCAGTGAATGCAACAAGTTGCGCAGAGAAGGGCAGGATCACCTGAATGCAGGTTGCCATGAGTAAAAGTGCATGTGTTTGATCCTTAATCTATAGAACAGTCTCATAGTGATGATTCTTGTGGAAAGAGGATTGACTGCAAAATAACCATATGCTGCCAAACCCTGTACAGCTTGTTGCTCATCTGCAAGGCCTACCGGGCCAGACAATTTCCAAGGACTTAACGATGTATGTGGTCAATAAAGTCACTAGGAGACAGAAATCTACTATAGAGAGGATGTCTGAGGAAGAAATAAACAAGATTACAGAAACTATTATTAAATTATTTAAAATTTACCATTACTACTCACATTTGTAAACCTATCTTTTTCCTTCTAAACCTTCTTTCCTGATGTTAAAGTGCAGGCATTGTACTTCCCATTTCCAGGACTCAAGTCCGGCTATATAAAAATAACCAGTTTCCCTGAATCCCTTCACTAAATATTATCCTGCTTACACTCCAACAACTCGTCAGGTCCCAAATACCATTCGTCTCCATTCACGTCTATCTAACATGCTCATGCACGCTTGCTGGAAGTCCAAGCCCCTCTCCCAAAAAACCTCCTTTACCCCCTCCCTCCAACCTTTTCAAGGACGACCCCTACCCCACCTTCCTTTCCCTACAGATTTATACGCTCTCCAGATTTATACGCTCTCTAAATGACCAAACCACCTCAACAACCCCTCTTCAGCCCTCTGACTAATACTTTTATTAACTCCACACCTTCTCCTAATTTCCACACTCTGAATTTTCTGCATAATATTTACACCACACATTGCCCTTAGACAGGACATCTCCACTGCCTCCAAACGCCTCCTCATTGCAGTATTTACAACCCAAGCTTCACACCATATAAGAGTGTTGGTACTACTATACTTTCATACATTCCCTTCTTTGCCTCCATAGATAACGTTTTTTGTCTCCACATATACCTCAACGCACCACTCGCCTTTTTTCCTTCATCAATTCTATGATTAACCTCATCCTTCATAAATCCATCCGCTGACACGTCAACTCCCAAATACAGTGGACCCCCGCATACCGTTGGCATCACATGACGTTAAATCCGCATACCGCTACATTTTATCATCAAGATTTTGCCTCGCATACCGCTAAAAAACCCGCTCAACGCTGTTCGTCCGAGACACGTCTAATGTGCGCCCTTAGCCAGCCTCACATGTTCCGCCGGTGGCATTGTTTACCAGCCAGCCTCCGCGGTAACATCCAAGCATACAATCGGAACATTTCGTATTATTACAGTGTTTCTGGTGATTTTATCTGAAAAATAAGTGACCATGGGCCCCAAGAAAGATTCTAGTGCCAACCCTACAGCAATAAGGGTGAGAATTACTATAGAGATGAAGAAAGAGATCATTGATAAGTATGAAAGTGGAGTGCGTGTCTCCGAGCTGGCCAGGTTGTATAGTAAACCCCAATCAACCATCGCTACTATTGTGTGCAACAAAAAGGCAATCAAGGAAGCTGTTCTTGCCAAAGGTTTAACTGTGTTTTCGAAACAGAGATCGCAAGTGATGGAAGATGTTGAGAGACTCTTATTGGTGTGGATAAATGAGAAACAGATAGCAGGAGATAGCATCTCTCAAGTGATCATAAGTGAAAAGGCTAGGAAGTTGCATCAGGATTTAATTAAAAAAATGCCTGCAACTAGTGATGATGTGAGTGAATTTAAGGCCAGCAAAGGTTGGTTTGAGAGATTTAAGAGGCGTAGTGGCATACATAGTGTGATAAGGCATGGTGAGCCTGCCAGTTCGGACCACAAAGCAGCTGAAAAATATATGCAGGAATTCAAGGAGTACATAGAAACTGAAGGACTGAAACCTGAACAAGTGTTTAATTGTGATGAAACAGGCCTGTTTTGGAAGAAAATGCCAAGCAGGACCTACATTACTCAGGAGGAAAAGGCACTCCCAGGACATAAGCCTATGAAAGACAGGCTTACTCTGTTGATGTGTTCCAATGCTACTGGTGATTGCAAAGTGAAGCCTTTATTAGTGTATCACATTGAAACTCCCAGACCATTCAGGCAAAAGAATGTCCTCAAGGAAAATTTGTGTGTGCTGTGGAGGGCAAACAGTAAGGCATGGGTCACTAGGGACTTTTTCTATGACTGGTTACACCATGCATTTGCCCCCAATGTGAAAGATTACCTAACTGAAAAGAAATTAGAACTTAAGTGCCTCTGGTGTTAGACAATGCCCCTGGTCATCTACAGACGTGGCAGAGCGACTTTACGGGGACATGAAATTCATTAAGGTGAAGTTTTTGCCTCCTAATACCACTCCTCTCCTGCAGCCCATGGACCAGCAGGTTATTGCAAACTTCAAAAAACTGTACACAAAAGCTCTGTTTGAAAGGTGCTTTGTAGTGACCTCAGAAACTCAACTGACTCTAAGAGAGTTTTGGAGAGATCACTTCAATATCCTCAATTGTGTAAACCTTATAGGTAAGGCTTGGGAGGGAGTGACTAAGAGGACCTTGAACTCTGCTTGGAATAAACTGTGGCCAGAATGTGTAGACCAAAGGGATTTTGAAGGGTTTCAGGCTAACCCTGAGAGGAGTATGCCAGTTGAGGAATCCATTGTGGCATTGGGAAAGTCCTTGGGGTTGGAGGTTAGTGGGGATGATGTGGAAGAGTTGGTGGAGGAGGACAATGAAGAATTAACCACTGATGAGCTGCTAGATCAACTACAACAGCAAGAGGCCAGACCTGAGGAAACTGGTTCAAAGGAGGGGATAGAGAAATTGAAGAAATTGCCTACTACAAAGATTAAGGAAATCTGTGCAAAGTGGCTTGAAGTGCAAACCTTCATGGATGAAAATCACCCTCACACAGCTATTGCAAGCCGTGCTGGTGACTATTACACTGACAATGTTGTGAAACACTTTAGGGAAGTCATAAAGGAACGAGAGGTACAGGCCACTATGGACAGATATGTTGTGCGACAGAACTCCAGTGACTCTGAAGCTGGTCCTAGTGGCATTAAAAGAAGAAGGGAAGTAACCCCAGAAAAGGACTTGACACCTCAAGTCTAAATGGAAGGGGATTCCCCTTCTAAACACTAACACTCTCTCCTCCTCCCATCCCATCAATCATCACCAGATCTTCAATAAAAGTAAGTGTCATGTAATTGTGCATGCCTTTTTCAGTTTGTGTGTATTAAAATTAATATTTTATGTGGTAATTTTTTTTTTTTTTCATACTTTGGGGTGTCTTGCACGGATTAATTTGATTTCCATTATTTCTTATGGGGAAAATTCATTCGCATAACGATAATTTCGCATAACAATGAGCTCTCTTGCACGGATTAATATCGCTATGCGGGGGTCCACTGTATCTGAAAACATTCACTTCTTCCATACTCCTCCTTCCCAATTTGATATCCAATTTTTCTTTATCTAAATCATTTGATACCCTCATCACCTTACTCTTTCTATGTTCACTTTCAACTTTCTACCTTTACACACACTCCCAAACTCATCCACTAACCTTTGCAATTTTTCTTCAGAATCTCCCATAAGCACAGTATCATCACAGTATTCTCATTTTGTATTTGATTCCCCATAATTTAACCCCACCCCTCTCCCGAACACCCTAGCATTTACTTGTTTTACAACCCCATCTATAAATATATTAACCCCTTCAGGGTCCAAGGCCCAAATCTGAAGTGGTGCCCCAGTGTCCAAGAATTTTCAAAAAAAATTTTTTATTTTTTCTCATGAAATGGTAGAGAATCTTTTTGCGAAGGTAATAAAACAAAAAGTACGAAATTTGATGGAAAACTGACGAAATTATGCTCTGGCGAATTTTGATGTGTCAGTGATATTTACGAATCAGCGATTTTGCCGACTTTGACTTCCATTTTAGGCCAATTACATCATTCCAGTCAACCAAATTCTTAGCTATTTTACTAGTATTACTTCTATTCTATCGATTGAGCACAAGAAATCGCCAAGTCAACTGTTTCAACTACAAAATAAAGTGATCGGAAATTGGTAATTTGGCCAATTTAACACAAAGTTCAAAATATTCCAATTTCAAAATAGCATCCAGAATAAACAATGTAGGCATTCCTGGCACTAAACTAACATTTCTCGGTTCATTAGTTACGTTTTGAGGCTTTACAAATAATCCCATTTTTATTATTTATTTACATAATGAATTTTTATTCACACCAAAAAATAGAAGATTTACTGTTATGCAATATTGTAATAATTGTATAAATATCATCACCACATTTGTGAATGTGTATTAGATCCACCAGCTGGCGTGTATTAGACGTGTGAGGTTGTTTGTTTACTCTTGAACATCGACAAAAATTTAACATTTCCGCTACTTTGAGCTCAGTTTCAAGCCATTTCCAGTGCTAAAACCAATCAAAATCATCTGTATTTCTGTAATATGTCTTCCATTCTATCAAATGAGACCAAGAAATTGCAAATACAACTATAAAAAACATACGAAAAAACACTGCAAAGTTGCTGTTTTAATCGAAAATCTTGGTTTCAGTTTTTTTTCTCTCATTATACATAGTGTGCTGCAGGATTTGTTTTATGTGGTGCACACATACCACATAGATGTATTCTCTCATATCTAGGCCCAAGTGTATCACTCACAGTTTATCAGAGTGAGCTGAGCTCATGACGTAGATCTACGGTTTGGACACTGAACGCAAAGCCATAGATCTACGAGACGGACCCTGAAAGGGTTACACAACCATGGTGACATTACACATCCCTGTCTAAGACCTACTTTTACAGGGAAGTAGTCTCCCTCTCTTCTACACACCCTAACCTGAGCCTCACTATCCTAATAAAAACTCTTTACAGCATTTAGTAACTTACCACCTATTCCATATATGTACTTGCAACATCTGCCACATTGCTCCTCTATCCACTCTATCATAAGCCTTTTCTATATCCATAAATGCAATAAAAACTTCCCTACCTTTATCTAAATATTGTTCACATATATGCTTCAATGTAAACACTTGATCTACACATCCCCTACTCACTTTAAAACTCCTTGCTCAACCGCAATCCTACATTCTGTCTTACCTCTAATTCTTTCAATAACCCTACAGTACACTTTTCCTGGAATACTCAGTAAACTTCTTCTATAATTTTTACAATCTCTTTTGTCCCCCTTCCCTTTATATAAAGGGACTATACACGCTCTCCGCCAATCCCTAGGTACCTTTCCCTCTTTCATACATTTTTTTTTTTTCAACAAGTTGGCCATCTCCCACCGAGGCAGGGTGACCCAAAAAAGAAAGAAAATCTCCAAAAAGAAAATACTTTCATCATCATTCAACACTTTCACCACACTCACACATTATCACTGTTTTTGCAGAGGTGCTCAGAATACAACAGTTTAGAAGCATATACGTATAAAGATACACAACATATCCCTCGAAACTGCCAATATCCCAAACCCCTCCTTTAACCCTTTGAGGGTTTTCGTCGTACTAGTACGTCTTACGCGTAGGGGTTTTTGACGTACTAGTACGCATAAATTCTAGCGGCCTCAAATCTAGTGGGAGAAAGCTGGTAGGCCTTCATATGAAAGAATGGGTCTATGTGGTCATTTGTGCACAGTCTAAAAAAAATCCTGCAGCACACAGTGCATAATGAGAAAAAAAAAAAACTTTGACCATTTTTTTGGAATAAATCAGCGACTTTGCAGTGTATTTTCGTATGGTATTTATTGTTGTATTCTAGTTTTCTTGGTCTCATTTTATAGAATGGAAGACATATTACAGAAATTGAGATGATTTTGGTGGTTTTACAATGAAAGGTGCCTTGAAATTGAGCTCAAAGTAGCAGAAATGTTCGATTTTTACCAAACTTCAAAAAGTAAACAAATCGTGCCAAGCGTGCAATACACGTCAACTGGTAAGTCTAATATTCTTTCACAAGTGCACCAATAATATTTATACAATTTTTTACACTAAGCAGTAGTCTGCATAACAGTAAATCTTATATTTTTTGTGAGAATAAAAATTCAAAATGGAAAGCAAAAGAATATAAGAGGGGCCTTGAGACGTAACTAATGACTAGAGGAAATGTCATTTTAGTGCCAGGAATGTCTTTCTTGTTTATTCTGGACCCTATTCGGAAATTGGCATCTTTTGAAATTTGTGTGAAATTGGCAAAATTGCTAAATTCTGACCACTGTACTGGATAGTTGAATTTCATAAATGGGTGGTTTCTTGCACCCATTCGATAGAAAAAATGGAAGTTCTAGCGAAATATTCATGTTTTTGTCGACTAGTACAGCGAAATTGGCCGAAAATGGGGCTCAAAGTGGGCAAAATCGCCGATGCGTAAACATCGCCGAGACCGCAAACTTTGCGAGAGCATAATTTCGTAAGCTTTCTATCAAATTTCAAACTTTTGGTGTCTTTATGATCGGGAAAAGATTCTCTATCTTTTCATAAGAGAAAATAATTTTTTTTTTTTTAAATTTGGCCGACCCTGAGAACGAGTTTCGGAGAGGGCCTGTCGACCCTCAAAGGGTTAAAGTGCAGGCATTGTTACTTCCATTTCCAGGACTCAAGTCCGACTATATGAAAATAACCGGTTTCCCTGAATCCCTTCACTAAATATTACCCTGCTCACACTCCAACAGATCGTCAGGTCCCAAGTATCATTCGTCTCCATTCACTCCTATCTAAACACGCTCACGCACGCTTGCTGGAAGTCCAAGCCCCTCGCCCACAAAACCTCCTTTACCCCTTTCTCCAACCCTTTCGAGGACGACCCTACCCCTCTTTCCTTCCCCTATAGATTTATATGCTTTCCATCTCATTCTACTTTGATCCATTCTCTCTAAATGACCAAACCACCTCAACAACCCCTCTTCTGCCCTCTGACTAATGCTTTTATTAACTCCACACCTTCTCCTAATTTCCACACTCCGAATTTTCTGCATAATATTTTACACCACACATTGCCCTTAGACAGGACATCTCCACTGCCTCCAACCTTCTCCTCGCTGCTGCATTTACCACCCAAGCTTCACATCCATATAAGAGTGTTGGTACCACTATACTTTCATACATTCCCTTCTTTGCCTCCATAGATAGCGTTTTTTGACTCCACATATACCTCAACGCACCACTCACCTTTTTTCCCTCATCAATTCCATGATTAACCTCATCCTTCATAAATCCATCCGCCGACACGTCAACTCCCAAGTATCTGAAAACATTCACATCTTCCATACTCCTCCTCCCCAATTTGATATCCAATTTTTCTTTATCTAAATCATTTGATACCCTCATCACATTTATTAATTTATTTATTAAACAAAAATACCAACCCCTCCAACACTATATCCCCCCTGCTTTTAACATTTCTGTCATGATCCCATCAGTTCCTGCTGCTTTACCCACTTTCATTCTACGTAATGCCTCATGCATGGTCATGGTCATGGTCATGGACCGGGCCGCGGGGGCGTTGATCCCCAGAATAACCTCCAGGTATGCACCTCCCCACACTCCCCTGCTCTTCTTCACTCCTAAAAAGTGGTATACCTCCCTGGCCAGTGCATGAAATTACCGCCTCCCTTTCTTCATCAACATTTAAAAGTTCTTCAATATATTCTCACCATCTACCCAATACCTCCATCTCCCCATCTCCTAACTCCCCTACTCTGTTTTTAACTGACAAATCCATTCATTCCCTAGGCTTTCTTAACTTGTTTAACTCGCTCCAAAATTTTTTCTTATTTTCATAAAAATTTCTTGACAGTGCCTCTTCCACACTATCATCTGCTCTCCTTTTGCACTCTCTCACCACTCTCTTCACCTTTCTTGTACTCTCCATATTCTCTACTCTTCTTATAACACTTCTGCTTTGTAAAAACCTCTCATAAGCTAACTTTTTCTTTTATAACACCCTTTACTTCATCATTCCACCAATCACTCCTCTTTCCTCCTGCACCCATCCTCCTATAACCACAAACTTCCGCCCCACATTCTAATACTGCATTTTTAAAACTATTCCAACCCTCTTCAACCCCCCCACTACTCATACTTGCACCAGCCCACCTTTCTGCTAAGAGGTGCTTATATCTCTTAAGTAGTGTATGCATGCTGACAAATTCCTAGAAACTGTTTAAAAAAAACACTGTGAAAGTGAACACTATTCCAATAACATATATACTCATACTCTCTGCCTCCACAATAGGCTTGTATATTCTCCAATTAGCAAACAATTTAACAAGAACTCACCCTAACATATGTATGTACAAAAGTTTGGCAACATTGCGACATCTCCATACAGAATCTTCCTCTCTGAATGTAAGACGAATGTAGGCACACTCCCTATTCACAACTGCTCTCTCCTCTGCGGCTGTCTTGGCAGAGCGAATCTGTCGTATGAGGTCTCGTAGGCGTATGGGGTTAGGCTGTCGCACTGCAGGTAGTGAAAAGCTTTTGTATACAAAGCAATAAATAAGACTAATTCAATCTCATTTCAATGCATAACTGTTCACTAATAAATACATAGTAATCTTTAGAATACAAATTTTTGTTTTATTCACACTACATTGTTATTCAAACAGGAAAACGGGACAGCCTACATCATCCCACGCATATTAGTACAAAAACATTATCATTTGTGTTAGAGCAGTTAGTGAATATTGCTACAGTATCATGACAGATGTTCTCTACATTAATTTGCAAACAATAAATCGAGCTGCCACAAGATTTTATTACTGAAAACTTGAAAGGCTTTATCATCACTATTAAATGGGGTTTACAGCATCAGCAATACAAGTCAAGTACAACTAATTGCAAAAATACAAGGTACTACATGTCATACATTAATCCCTGCCAAGGAATCACTAGAATTAGCAATCCATTTAATTAAATTGTAATCCTAGCCATGATATAACCATGAGAATTATTAACTATTTATCAATGTGATTTCCGACATACAAAAGAACTGATGATACATAATCCAGTAGTGTAAACAATTTTTTAAACAAAGAAATCTGTGAAATACAAGGTTTTTCACACAATTCAAGGTATTATTACCAGTATATTAATGGCTTACAATGCAAAGAACTGTAGTGAACCCTAATTAAACTTAAACCTATAACTTCCAAAAGCATACCTACTTACTTTCCTGAAATTATTATAGTCACAAACCCAGTAATATAAAATGTTGGTAATAAACATATGTATTCAATTCCAGTCCTGTATCTAAAGTTTTCTGCCTTATTTAACACACACAAGATAAAAAGCTCTCGTCTAGAAAATATTATTCCCTGGAGGAAGAAAGTACAGTGCCTGCACTCTGATGGATGAGTGGAGGATGTTGCAGTTCAATGGGTCATTTGAATTACGGTAGACCGTCGTTTAACACAACTTTGTCTTGCACGTTCTTGTTATAGCATGTCTGAAGAATTGCGGCATATTTTTGCTTAACACTTCATAAAATTAGTTTAACATGATTACACGAGGGGAAAAAATTTTGAGGGCATGGTCGCCTGCCGGGCGGGATGTTCTGCAGGTTAGTGGGTTACACCATTGTGTCAACGGGGAAGACCTATCACCATCCCCTACCTCCCTAAGCCAACCACACCATCCTCATCATCAAGTGTTTAATGCTGACAAGACAAGTGTTTTTTGGAGAAAAATGCCAACACAAACTTGTATCAGTCAGCAAGAGAAAAGTGCACCAGGCTTCAAGACGGCAAAGGATCGCCTCACCTTGTTCCTTTGCGGTAATGCAGAAGGTGATTTCAAGTGTAAGCCCATGGTTATTTACCGCTCTACGAATCCTCGTGCTTTGAAAGGTGTAGATAAAAAATCTTACCGGTAATTTGAAGGTCAAACCAGTCAGCATGGATGACAGAGGAAATATTTATTGACTGGTTTACGCATCACTTTATTCCTGAAGTTAAGTTTTACCTGCACAGCAAGAACCTTGCATTCAAGGCTTTCTTCATTCTTGATAATTCCCGTACTCATCAACAAGCTTTGCTGGATGTGACCCCACATGTAAAAATTGTATTTTTACCTCCAAATACAACATCTCTAATACAACCACTAGATCGGGGAGCTATTAAGTCATTTAAGTGTAACTACACAAAAGAGTCATGAAAAAACTAGTTGCATCAATGGACTCTGACCTGGCAGTACCAAGCTTTGGGAATAAATTTAACATTGCAGAAGCCATCAGCTATGCTAGAAGTGCATGGAATGAAGTGCCCCAATCAACATTAATTGCAGGCTGGGGGAAAGTTATGGCCTTCTGTAGTTAATTCTTTCACTGGCTTTCCCTTGCTTGAGAGTCAGGTTCAGGAAATTGTTCAGCTGGCAAGATTACCAGATAATGGTTTTGAAGATATGAATGAAGATGTGAATGAGCTCGAAGAAGAAGAAGAAGAAGAAGAAGAAGAAGATGATGATGATGATGATGATGAAGATGAAGATGATGAAGATGATGAAGATGATGATGAGGATGATGATGATGATGATGATGATGAGATGATGATGATGATGATGATGATGATGATGATGATGATGAATGATGATGAAAAGATGATGATGATGATGATGATGATGATGATATGATGATAATGATTGATAATGATGATAATGATGATATGATGATAATGATGATAATGATGATAATGATGATAATGATGATAATGATAATGATGATAATGATGATAATGATAATGATGATGATAATGATAATGATGATGATGATGATGATAATGATGATAATGATAATGATGATAATGATAGTGATAATGATAATGATGATAATGATAATGATGATAAATGATGATGGTGATGATAATGATAAAAGATGAAGACAAAAGTCCAGAGAAATGTTGGAAGAGCTCAATGCACAGATACAAGGGAGGGAGATAATGCAGACTTTTTCACTAGAGAAAAGGACCTTGAAAATCTAGAAGCAGTGCTTTGAAATTTAGGGGTCTAGACCAGGGTAATGATGCTAACCATCAGCTGTTATAATGTACTGCAGGGTAAGAGCACCAAGAGAGCCATTACAAAATTTATGTACTCCAATAAACATCGACTTCAGTACTAAACCTTACCATCCACTTCTGCGAAACAACCAACAAACATTTCCCCCTTAAGCCAGTAGGGCCCACACCATCCATATCCACTCTTCAACAATAATTTACCCACAATTTAAGGAAGAAATACTATTTATTTCTATGCATTTGTGTCTTAAGCAGTAATATATCACGGAAATGCACTACAATTACTATTCATTTTTAATTTGTAAGATCGGAGATCTAAAAAAAAAGTTGTTTGGTTTTTGGGGCTCCCGGGAAACAAACCCCACACAAGTTTTTTCAGTCTAACTTTTTCGGGAATATAATACTGTGTTAAATGACGGTTATGTACAATGCCCATGCATTGTGAAAAGACGCTCCTGAATGAGTATGTGAGTATGTGTTCACCACAGAGTCATCCTGCCCTTTGGGTTGGAAAAAAGTAATGTGGGAAAAAATATTTTAAAATTTTTTTCAAATTGCACAGCTAAATTCTTTTTCAGGAATAATACATATTTGTAAAACCATGCTGCAAAAATTTGTTATTCAAACCCTGCAACTGTTCTCTACACTTTTTGGATAGAAGCTAGGGAAAAGGGGGGTTTGGAAAACAAAATTAAATCTACTTTCATGTTTTTCAATGTTTACAAATAGTCTTTTTATTCATCTTGAAGTTTAAAAAGTCTGTCAAATGAAAAAGCATTTGTATATTGCAAACAAATACTGTAGCAAACTAATATCGAGCTAGCTTCTGCCAGCCTGAAATTCATACAATATGTCAGTTATAAAATATATTTCCTCAAGGCAATCAAAACACTTGCAAAGTTCCTTAAAACCTTGGGCAAAAGATAGCCCATGAAGCGCTCGAAATCTCCACCAATTCAAAACACCTACCTAAAGAAGAATATAAAAAAAGCCCGAATTTGTAAGGGCAGACTTGAATGTACAATACTTTACACTATGCCAACTGATAAAAACTAAAATTCTAGTTTTGAGATACTGTTTTTAAATTCTTAGTGAAATCAAGGAATGAAAATAGTACATAAGGTTTACATTAATCAAGATCCTGAAAATTAGCAGCCAATGCACAGATAATAAAAAATTAAGGTCTCCAAGCTCTCAAAGCATTTACCCAACAACAATCACTGGATAATGAAAATAAATATTCAAGGCAGAAACTAACACTGTAGTAAATAAAAGTCCTTCAATAAAACCCCAAATAAATGATCAACTCACTCACAGCTAGGGTGATAAATAGAACAACAAAGAACAAAACAAAATAGAACTCCATTATGTACCTGTTATTTGAGAGAAGAGGATACATAGAGTACATATATGTATATTTTACAACAACCATTTCTCATCAAGATAAGATGACTTAAAAGGAAACAGTCACTATAACTCATTCAATAGCCGTCTGTCCAGTGTATGTGCATTATATTTCTTCCCTCTGGAACTCTAATAGGACTTACCATTTTCCCTAAATCACTTATTATATGTTACCTTGCTCACACTTAGACAACATATCAAATTCCAAAAACAACTTGTTACCTTGCTCACACTTAGACAACATATCAAATTCCAAAAACAACTTATCTCCACTCACTCAAATCTAGCATATTTACATGTCTGGTGGATGCTCCTACCATTTAAATCAAATGAATAATGAAAAATCAGCATAACAACCCCTTAAAGGTTGCTAAAACCTACACAAAGGAAAATGCAATGCAATGAAGATAATTTGAAACTTGTTTCAATCCATAAGGCACTAAAAATAAGACAAGTTATAAGAGGGTTATGCTAAGATAGCCAGAAAAAAATCCAACAAAAAACCCAGGTTAACCAAAATATTTTATAATGCAAAATAATGGAAAAAAAAAGTTTTGATAAAAATTCAGAGAAGGGAGGCTGATTTACAGCACAGCCATGCACAGAACATAGAAAATATATTACTTCCACATATACAGGGTAGCCACACTGAATAGGTTACCCACAGCAGTCGCAGAAAATTTGAAAAAAAGTACTGCATAAAAAATTAAATCTGAGAAAATGAGCTACACAACAGAGCTTAATACATAAGTACCAATGGAAGGTAACGTTGGCAACAACACAAGGATTTTATAAACTTAGAGAATACTTCACTCAAAAGGGCCCTCCGCTAACCACACACTCATACAATGATTAAAGATTAAAATGACAAATATACTCTTAGTACTATGTTTAAGTTTAACACAGGTTCACATAAGTAAAGCATCAAATATGACAGCCACCATAAATAGCACCGATACTCAAGTACACACCTTTCTTGGTACTTTATATCAAGATTGTTGTGGAAAAACTCCCCAGGTAGTACCCACTTACCCATAGAGATAAG